GTCCCCTCTATGCAATTTGCCATTTCCTTCTCTGTCTTAAACATAAAATAGTTTACAAAATGGTATGAGATTCTACAATCTTATTTTATTTAGTCATAATGATTAGCAACATTTAAAAGCATCCATGTTTTTCTATACAGTTTCTTTAGTTGTCTGCTCTTATAAAATGTTTGCAGACCTTGAAGAAGTTTTAGTTATAATTCAATTACAGAACAGCAAATGGACAAAAGATAAAAAGAATATGTACCTGGTGAACAGAAAGATAAATGAACAAATAAGAAGTGATGGTGGCACACAGGTTCAAAATGCCATGCACAAAAAGTATTCTGACTCACTAAGAAACTAACAAACCACTTACAAGTGACCTTTTGCTAAGTTTTATTTACTTATTTATGTGTTTAATAGAATTTATTTTTGTTATTTACTGTGTTTTGTGGAAAAACCTTAGAATCATGGCCATAAAAGTAATCTGCTAATCCAATGTTAAAATTAAAGTGGAGGACTGTATCTTTATACTTAATCCAAGCAAAACAGGATTTTAAAAAATATTTACTAGCCTCCAATAAACTGCAACATATAAGGATTCTATTAACATAAAACAGTCCTAGAACTGGTTTCTCACCTCGTTTCACATGGGCCCAGTGATTCATGTTTGAGAATCATGTTCACTTTTTAAGCTTAAAAAAAAACTAGTTTACAAATATGTAATCCAGGTCTAAATTTAGATAACACATAAGTGAAAATAACCACTCTGTGTGTAAAATCCATATTAAATGATTCCCTAAAATAATAAACCTAAAAATAATACTGAAGAAACTCATTAAATTGAAAGGTTTTTGTCTAAAGCTCCTTTAAGCTTCATGACTCTCACCATTTCTTACCTTCAATTGGTAAGAAATATTTAAAATACAGCTGACTTAATATTTAATTCTGGTAGACACAGTAACCTTTTTAACCTTTCTTAGGGAACACTGACCCCTAAAGGTTCTAAATTTAAATAAGTTTCACAATTTTCTAAATTTAACTGGTATCCAGACTTCATTTTTATCTATATTATTTTAAGTATGTATACTTTATAGCAGATGTATTTATTCACAAACAATATGCAAACTATTTCCAAACGACTATTATAAACTGTAAAACAACTAGATTGTGTTTCTACTAATAAAAACCACCAACATTAATACAAGAAATAGGAATTTATAACAGTATTCCAAATAATTATTCATAAGAGATTTCTGACCGCCATGCTTTTTTCTTACTCATTTAAGTAAATATTAATTAGATGCTAAAAAGGGCTAACCAATCATATAACAACTCATTCTCTCAGAGGGTTGACTTTATATAAGTATAAATACCTTTAGTTATGACATTTCATTTTCTTTCTTTTAAAAAAAATAAACAGAAGAGAACTCAAGTAGAAAGTTTTCACAAAAAGGGAAAACATTTACTTCTTAAGAGGTCAGAAGATGGTACAATGCTCACTTGGCAATACAAATTCATACACATGAATAGAAACAATGTATTTTTTCGAGTATTTAAGAATATATTCCATCAGGGTTGTTTTTTACCTACTTACGGAAACCTGGACAAATTTGTAAATGACTTTACCTATCCCATCTACCAACCTCTTTCCAAATGTCTAAAATAACGAAACAAAGCAAAATGTACATGGATATTTATATCTGTCACATTATCTATCATGAACTCTTTGACTTAAAATATTTCAGCAATGTTCCTACAATAAAGCTATGGAAAAAACGGCCACATCAGTACTCCTTATAATAAAATTTGTAAGACAACTCGAAAGCCTGTTTATGTAATACAAATTTTTATTAACTTGATTTCTTTAAAAAAAATAGAATGATATAAAATAAAATAACTACTCATAAGATCAGACGATGAACATTTGTATAAGATAGAACTTTGAAGCAACTTGTGTTTTAAGATAAATCCCATGAACCTTGCTGACAGAAGGTTACCATACAAGATTTTACTGTTTAAACATACTGGTTATCATAAAATTCATAAGTTACTACATTTACCTGTTAATTTTATTTCTTTTATTTTTATTTCCATGGAAAACCCCTCATTTGATTAAAAAAAAATAAAATAAGCTCCGTGGGTACAATTTTGACATACAAAGAGACACCAATTTTGTTTTAAGGTGTAGTAGCTGACACAGAATCCCCTTCCTACCTTCTCCAGCCTTCTCTGTGGATTACACCAATACATTCAGAAACATGTTAGCTAACATAGGAGTTTTTGGACACTTTTCCATTGGTTCTTTACCTGCTCATTGCCCATCATGCCTGAGGCCTGCAATATTAACATTTAAGATTTAAAAGGGAAAGCCAAAATGAAAACAAACAAAAAACAAAAACCCAGTTTTGCCTAAAGGTTTGGGGGAAAATCTTCATTTCCCCAACCCATGCACTAAATTGATGGTATTCACACTACCATGGCAATGCCCATTTGATTTTATTTCTTAATAATGTTTATTACCAGGTCCCTATTAAAAGGAATATCTTATTCCTATTTTCACTGTCAAAAAATTATCTATAAAAATGCATATTTTCTTAATGTTTCAGTCATGTCTGTTGTAGTCTATGCCTCCTGCAAACTATCTGCGCATCTCTCTTCAACTCTAAAACATTTTATTTCTTAAGTACACCAGAGTTTCTGTAGCTCTTTCCTTGATATCTTTCCTGGATTTTTTACATTTATGAGAAGTACTTCATCCATAGTGTCTATCTCTTTAGCTATATTAAAAATAATTCTTTGCCTCATTAAAGATCCTTTGGTCTCCAACTTAAACAATATGACTTTCACAGCAATATGATCTGTGAATAGGGACACAAACAACAGATGCATCATTATTTGCTTCTTTTTTCTTATTTTTGACATAAATTCAATAAGATGCTTTTTGAGTTCTTAAAAGAAGAGTGTTAGTTTTGCTTACTTAAATAAAAATATAGCTACACAAAGCCAAATCAATTCCCAACTTTATACCAACCAATACATTCTTTTTTTCGAGACAGAATCTCACTATATCGCCCTTAATAGAGCGCTATGGCATCACAGCTCACAGCAACCTCAAACTCTTGGGCTTAAGGGATTCTCTTACCTCAGCCTCCCAAGTAGATGAGACTACAGGGGCCCGCCACAATACCCAGCTATTGTTGTTGTTGTTGTTGCAGTTTGTCATTGTTGTTCAGCTGGCCTGGGCTGGGCTCAAACCTTCCAGCGTCGGTAAATGTGTCTGGTGCCGTAACCACTGTGCTACAGGAGACAAGCCTATACCAATACCACCTGAAGTGTCACCACAGTTCATACACTAAAGGTATTAACTTTGCATTGAAAACCCTTAACTACCTTCCTCAGATATTATGTATTACAGCTTTATACACAATTCAATCAGTTAAGTGGAGCCTAAATCATAGCAAGCAACCTAAAGTCACAAGAGAAAGTACTAACGGTAGGCACAAACAATAAGAAAATTTACAACAGTATGGAAATCAAAAATGAATTTAGAAATCAGAAAAGGGTATTCAGAAAATAGCATATTTCTATTTCTCAAAAGATGTGCAATTATTAACTTATTCAGTTCAACAAATACAGAACAGTTCCTCAAAATGGCCTTTACCTTCTAAATCAGGTAACAACATGGTACACACATGGTAAAAAGCCCTGTTGGGAAAGGAGAACCAAAAAAGGGGAGATGTATATAGTGTTTAGGTAAGAATCCTATTTTTTAAGTTACAAAACTGGGAGGAAATTTAAAAAGAGGTTTATAAAGGTTTAGGTATTTAATTATTTGTAATATTATACCAGAATGTTTCATTTCCCAAGGATTCCAAATTTTCGACACTGTACTGTAATTGATCTTAAATCTCCCTCTCTCCCTCCTGCATGTTTGCTGCTTCACCTATCCATCCATCCATCCATCCATCCACCAACCCATCCACCTAACTCTGTTTTCAGGCTGTCTCTCAGTTTGTTTCTGTCTTCAGATTCTCTTTCAAACTGTGTTTCTATCTGATTGTCTTCCGCCTCTCAGGCTGCATCCTCACCCTGTGCATATCTGTGAATGTGCTCTTCTCTCTCTCCCCGGGTCTCTGACTCTGTCTCTGTCCCAGCGTGCCTTTCTCTGTCTCTATCTGCACATCTCTGCATATCTGTCTCTATAGCTCTGATGGTCTTTGTCTGGGTGTGTCTCAAGGTGTGCATGTGTCTCTATATTTATATATGTCTCAGTTTTTTTCTCTTGTGTGTGTCTCTTCTGATCTGTGTCTTTCTCCTTGGTCTCCACGTAAGTGTTTGTCATTCTCCCATTCTCTCTACCGCTCCCTCATTACTCCATATGTGCCTACTTCTCTGTTGTCTTTTTCTTTCTCACTCTGACATCTCTCTGTATGTATGTACCTTCTGTCTCTTTCACTGTGTGTGTCTCTTGTCTCTGTAACTGTGCGTATGCCTATGTCTCTTATCCTCTGGGTGTGTTTCTTTCTTTCCTGTCTCTCTCTCCCTATACAACTCTTTATCTCACTTTATCTCTTATCCTGGTATATCTCCTTCTCTGAATCTCTGTATCTCGTAAGTGCTTCCGTGTATGTGCCTGTGTCTGTGTCTCTCCTTTAAATATCTTCCTTTCTATGTATGTTCCTTTCTCTGAGTGCCTCTGAGCAAATCCTCCCCTAGTCATTCTTTCAGTCTCTTCTCTTTTTGTATGCAGGTGTATTTCCTTCTCTTTCCCTGTGTCTTTCTCCCTCTTCCTCTTTCAATGTCTCTCTATCTGTAAGCACATGTATGTCTCTTTCTGTGTGTCATTCCTTTTGTTTCTTTTGTAAACTGTGGATCTGTTTGTTTGTCTCCTCTGTGTGTGTGCGTGTGCACATTTGTCTACCTCTAATATATTGGTCAGAACAAACACATTTCATTCAGTGCCTTGAACTAGCACAACATCTAGGGCTTGGTATTAATACCTTAAAAGTCCTTACCTTTTGACCAGTTCTCCATTTGTACTCCTGTTCTTGTTTGCTCTGGCAATGTCTCTGGTTTTTGCTCCAAGATTGGAAGCTAAAATAAAGCCAACTCTAGATAAATAAACTTAAAACAATATATCAGAACACACCTAAACTTTACTTTGTTTAACAGAAAATGTACAGGATAAATGGTTTTCTAAAACATTTATAATAGGACAATTAACTATATATTTCAGCAAGGCAAAATTAAATCTTTTTCTCTGAAAAAGTTTCTTTTTTCACTCTTACATTTTTAGTAAATACAGTTCAGGGTAAGCTTTTAGATATTCTTGCTCCTTGGGTTAAAAAACCATTTAATTTATTTATTTAAGTTAGAATTTCTCCAAGTATCATTTGAAGCTTTTTTAAAAAATAAAATTTTTACTATATTTGCCCTAAATTTTACACCAAAAATTATTGATTTTAATTTACTATATATATTCATATAAAATATTCTGTATTTGTAAAAGTCATTTAAGAATGCTATTCTAATTATTTTATAAAAAATATAAAAACTATCATTAACTTAGAGAATTATAATATTTCTCTCTGGCTGAGCTAGATCTAAAAAGAAAAAGAAATTTTAATTTTAAAAAGAATTATTGATATTTCTCTGTTTTATTTGTTTTCATAGTAAACATGAAAAAACAATGCAAGTATGTTTTTTCATGCTTTTAAAGTGAATAAAATTTGATTTACCTCACAGCTAGAACCTGTATTCCTTAAAAAGTCCTCAAATAAAGCTGTAGTAAGCTTCTCCTTTTCCAATTTTCTCTAAATATGTTGATCTGGAATTGGCAATCTTTTTCTAAATTTCTCATTTACTTTTGGATTAGCTGAAAATATAGGAAGTTATTAATATTGAAGAAATATGTTCCAGTCAATGAAGCCATTTCCCTACATATTGCCCAAAAAGGTTAATAATAATTGCAGTATTTTAATAAGAGATTCATATAGCAAGACATGTAGAAAATACAGTCTTTAATAACCTCTGGAGTATTTTAAAACATGTCTTACAGGCCTTAATGTGCTTAGTAATATACTATTTAAAACCATAATTTTATCCCTCTGCAATATACAGTCACTCTTCCTCATCATTTACCCAGCTAATGAATGCCAGCAATTAGTAAAATGTAATCCCATTGCACAATCATTTTAATGCTTTTAGCACTCAGAAAAGTAAACACCAAATTAATACTGCTCAAGCCATATCAGATCCTAGTTGGAAGCAAGCAATTATAGTTCAGCTCCTCAGGTGTAATTAAATGATTGGAATGATTTAGTTCCATAAATGCAAGTTAATTCATAAGCAAGCAACAAATATACTGGGAGTAATTACAAGAAACATTGACAGTCTAAGCAGGACAAATTCTTTTATGAGCCTGATGTAGTAATATGCTGCCCTCTCCTGGGCATATAAGTGAATATCTCAGACCGCAAAACAAAAAGAAAACCACAATAAACTTAACTTTCAGAAAGCTCCTAGACAAAATAATACCCAATATCAATTTGATTTCACTCCTTATACCAAAACCTACATATATAGATTATATAATATAATTTATAGATACCAGATAATTAATTATTTTCCCAATGAAGCTCTGAGTCCTAAAACACACCAAGTAATTCCTATACTTCTAGTGAAACCAAATAATGCTTACATAACACTGACAGACAGGCTGCAAGTGAACTTACTATACCCATTAGACTACCAGTCAACGGCTATGTTCTCTCAATGGTAAAAACCTGACTGGACTATTACAGATAATAACTAAGCTATGTTTTTATATGTAGTAAAATTTACATGAACAATATAAAACAAAATAATAAATATTTTTGTGACTTTACATAATGGTCTAAAACTATTTTTTAATAAACTTCAAATAAAATTAAACCTTGAGCACTGGTACAAATGTCATTATAAGCACATTTTAAAATGTAAAACGTAACAAATACCACACAAAATAAAATGCATCCTGGTCTCACTTTTAAGCCATTCCCAACTTCTTACTTTCTTAGGCCAAAAATCAGGACAAATGTATTTGTATACTAATTACTTGGACAGTCCGTAATTTTTCACACTAAACTTTCAGGAGCTCATTTGTTATACTTTTAAATAGTTCTATAATAAATAAGTCTGTGTTAAAAGCATGTGCTTGTAGCACTGAACCCAATCAGTATCATCCCTTTGCCTTTCTGCATAATTGAATGTGCTCTCTAATAAAATACTGCGTTAGCAAAAAAAAAAAAAAAATGTTTACTTCTTCCATACGTGCAGATGGCACTTGCAAAAGATAAAGCTTAACACTACACTAATACTTTAAGAGAAGGAGAACATTAAATTAATGACCTTCTAATTTGCTTTCAAATAACCAAATGCAAATTATAAAAATAAGTCAAAATATTAAAATGTTCTGTCACTAAGTTTAAAATGTATAGCACATTTGCTTTGCCCTTGGTGTCACAGTCTTATTTTTCAATTCATATCTTGTACACTGTAAGTTAATTGCTTTTGGAAAGTACTTATTATTCATGTAAAAATTAATGTGCCAATGTGTTTAAATCCTCTTAAATGACCATTCATGCATCTTTCTTCTTTAAGTACCAATGAAATCTGTCAAAAGACATCAATGCAAAATGGTCTTAAAGGAAAGTTCTAATAGAGATTTTTTTTTCTGCTAACACAAGATTTTCATATTCACCAACTTTACTTAAATTCCATTAATTTTTTAAGCTACTTTTAATAAATTCACCAAGTAAAATTTTTAGGCCCCATAGTCTGTCATTTGTGTTCCAGCTGACATTATGAATATTAATAACAGTGTTATCCTGATTAAATAGGCTTCATATGAAATCCCTGTGAATCCTATAGCTCAGACTTCTCATTTTTCCAACTCTTTATGAATTTGGATTCAGACATTAAACTGGAAAAATCTTAAAAAACAGATTTAGTGGCACATTTGCATATTATTAAGCAAAAATTAGCTGTTTTAATGATTCAAACAATTAAAACTTCTATATCTACACATAACAGGAATAGAAAATTTTTGTAAACATGCAACATATTTTATACTTCTATTCTTTTTAGGACAAAGGATTAAGACTAATAAAATACTAATTCCTGTCCTTACCTTAAAGATTTAATATTAAGAACTCGTTTTCAGTTGAAAATTATATGTTCACATTAAAACTAGTGGGACTGTTTTACAGTAGACAATCAAATAAGTTGAATTTCTTAATCAAAATGCTAACTCACTAAATTACAGATAAAACAAAAATTAATTGCTTTATCATTACTAATCTGCACTAGGTTTAAAAAGCAAAGTAAAATCAATTTCCAACTAAAGTTTGCTTATAAATTAAGCTGGAAAAAAATTACATATGCTAAAAAATTCTAACATAACCAATAGAACATACCATATTAGTATCTGTTAAATTAAAATCTTCGATCATAGCGTCCTATAACCTTATGCCTCCAAGTTATTTTATTTTTTTAACTACAATCCAGACACCTATGATACCTCCAAAGTTATTTTTAATTCTGAGAAATTTTCAGTATATTTATAAGATAAATGAAAAATAAGTAAGCTAAATACATACCCCCTTCTCTCTAGCACATGGGAATCTCAATATATCTGACAAAGTTTCCTACATTCACACATCCAAAAAAATGTAGAAGGAAAAAATTTAAACAAACATCTCTATGCTCTCAAATGTGACATGACTCTCCTGTTTACTCAGCATTAAGACACTTCATGAAACAAAAATTATTCTTTGACCAGTCTAAAATTTCTAATCTGCCTAAAAAATTGTAAGTAATTCTGACATTTACCCTTTAAAATTAAATAATGCCTTTTTGATAGAGAAGCTTTTAAAAATGGGATTTCATTCCCCAATGTAAAAGCACCCAGGATTGCTTAAAACTCATTTTAAATAGAAGATGCCCTTCCTACCTTCCTTTACAAAGCTGCATTCTAACAAAGGTTTTTGACTGACTTTGGTTGATGGCATATTTTTCATATCCCTGTAGTTTAATCACAAATTTGTATAAATTGAATCCAAGTATCAAACTGTAAGTCATTTAAAATACTGCATTTTGTTCAACTATAACTCTAGAAAAACTATGAATTTTTTTTACTACATTGAGAAATGTTGATAATTTCTGCACTGAAAATTTCATTAAATGGCCAAAGGAAAGCTCTGTATTTCAGAAAGCCAAATATTTTATCACATAACACAACATATACAATATAAGCAACTTAAGGACATCCCTACTATTGGATTTTCACCTCATTAAACCAAAGTCACTCAAACATTCAGAGCCCCTGGCATATTCTTTCCCCAAAAGAACTATTTTTCTCCAATGTGCTCACTCCCTCCCTACCCAAGCTCTGGGTAACCAAGCTCCTCAGAGGTGGGAAAAGCAAGAGGAGGTTCAGGGAGAAAAGGGAAGTGATAAAAATGACCCTGTCCCATAGCTAACAAAATTTAAATAGTATATACTATTTGACCCCCCAGTTTTAGTACTAAAAAATGTATGAAAGTATATAAAACATGTTTTTATGTACAAAGATACTCATTGAAGCACTATGTATTTCTAAGATCAAATACTTATGCTCCCATCACACTGGACTTGTTTCTGTTTCTCAAACACACCAAGCTTATTCTAAACTCAGAGCTTTCATACTTGCTATTCCTTCTGTCTAGAAATCTCTTCTCCAGATTACTAAGCCATTTTTCTCATCACTTAGGTCTTGCTCAAAAGTTAACTCTTCAAAGAGGTTTTTGCCTGGCTGTCCTATCTAAAGTAGAAATTCTTCTCTCATCATACTTTCTAGGTTACTGCCTTCATGAAACTGGTTTGTCCAGGTTTTATTTCATTGTTTTGATTTCATTGTTCTGATATATCTCAGAAAAGATGTATATGAAAGTTACATGTAAACAAGGCCCTTGATTTTCTCCTTCATTCTTTTATCCTTAGAATATGTGCCTTAAAAGAAGTATTCAGTGTATATTTGACAGAACAGACAGGTGGATGGACAGATGGAG